TAAACAAAACATTCTAAATCGTTTAGATGAATTACAATCAAGTAATCCAAAATAATACTGGTCTTTGGTTAATCAACTGCGCAATGAGCAGGCAGACAAGCCAGTGTCTGACATTGATGATGACACTTGGTACAGATTATTTTTTAACCTTGGTTCAGTCCCAAACAATTAAAGGATGTTCGCTACTCTGTTTTAAAATAACAAGTTTTTAAAAGACTGTTCTAAATTTATAGTATATAAATAAAGGAACCAAAAAAGCAGAAAAAAATGAAGGGTCCGTGTGCTTGTTTTTGAGATATAAGCCATTGAAAATTTGGCGGGAAATGATTCTCTCTAGATTTTTCATACTTTTAACATTGTCCGCTTTTCTCTTTTAAAAACTATGAAAAAATAACAAGGATTTTATAAGATTTTCAAATGTGGCTTTTAAACCTATATGAAATAAAATTATGAAAAGAAAAGCAGGGGTTAGTGGACAAAATTATTTAATGGCAAAACATGGATAAAACCAGAGGATTCCGAAAATCTGGCAAAATTTCAAAAAAAAGAGGAGCGAACATCCTTAAGATCAAGACTACACAAGACATAAAATAAATTAAAGTTATTGGAAGAGGGAAACACAAGTTTTTCACCTCTTGAATTCAAGATTACGAAGACAGAGCTACAAAAAGTTTATTCCAAATTAAATCTGGCAAAAGTCCAGGACTAGATAATGTGAGCAATGAAATACTGAAAGTCTCACACAGTTCTACTGACTCTTGTTTACTAAAGCTTTATAATGCAGTTTTTGGCATCAGGTATGTATCCGGCAAAATGGTCGGAGAGTTTTATATGTCCGATTTTCAAATCAGAGGATCCAAAGAAACCTGAAAAATTACAGAGGAATAGCTATAAATAATAGTATTATAGAGAACTTTTCATTAAAAGTAATTTTAAAGTTTGAAATATAGTGTATAGTATAGTTTAGTTGCACTTGTCCAGAGTTAAATGCACATATATAAAATTTGATAGAACATGTACAAATTTAGCCAGTGGGGTTTATGATGTAAGAAAACACTCCATTCAGAATATTGAATGACCAGTGTACGCAAACCCCATTACACATGTTACTTTTAAGTGTATTGGGGAGGTTAGGAGTTTAAATAAAGGTAAAACAACGGTCACTTCAAAGATTCAAAATTTATTACTTTATTTGATTAATGGGATAATTTCTCCGTGTACTATATAAACAAGTTTGTTCAGTTGGTGTACTATCTGTGTATTCCAACTGAACAGAACTTTGTGTTTTTATTCTTAAGGTTAGTAGACTTTACGCATTTTTTGGAACGACTTAATCATTCAAATTGAGAAAGTATTTATGGTTAAAAGTTTATTTTTAAACTCAATAATTTTTATACATGTATTTTTATTTACTTTAAGAAAAGTGACAACATTAGTTTTCTATGTTTATGCTTAAAATACAATATGATGAAAAGTAATACTATTGATTTAATTTTCAAATATATTAAAGTACTTTATGTATTTTGTGCATGTTCAATCTATGTATTGTGTGTTTAAAGTTCAAAAATAAAATTTAATATATTATTAAAAATTTATAAAATGAAATACTTTCAGGTAAATTAATACTTAATTGATTTTCAGGAAATAAACAATATACATGAACAATAATTTTCACTATGATACGAGAAACATTTCAGAGACATTAAAATGGTGAACTTGTGAAAACTGTAATCTGAAAAAAGAAACAATATACTCGTTTAATTTTATCAATTTTTAAAATGGAAATCTTAATTTGTTCAATGTCATTTGATTTATTTACAACTTTATTGCATTTGTGAATTGTTATTATATTAATTTGTATTTTAATTTGATGTTTAGTATTATATCATAATAAACAAAAACAGATCTGTGTATTCCAACTGAACAGAACTTCGTGTTTTTATTTTAAAGGACATTTTCAGAAACCCCTAGTGGTATGATATAAAGTCCCAAGAACACAAAGTATAAAAGTCACTTGATATCTGCGTTCACCTTAGTCTTCATCCAACCTCTAAAGGGACTTACTTAACCAAGACGAGTAAAGTCATACCCCAAAAAATATAAAAATAGTATAGGTAAACTTTTTAACTTAATACTTTATAATAGACTTGATAAATTTCTTCTAGATAATAATATTATACACAAGACCCAAGTTGGTTTCTCAAAGGGAGCGTGCACCTCTGATCATATTTTTGTTCTCAAATGACTTTGCCTTTGATATGCAGATGATCTATTACTATTTTCAGATACTAAAAAGGTCTTCAACCAAAGCTAGATATTTTAAATAACTATTGTACTGAATGGTGTATAGAAGTAAATGTACAAAAGACAAAGGTAAACATTTTTAACAAAACTGGAAGGCGAAGGACTGGCATGTTTCAAATTGGAACTGATACTCTAGAATGTGTGTTAAACAATATCAGTATTTAGGCCTTATAATTGAAAACACTGGAAAGTTTAATGAAGCCAAACAATGATTGTTTCAAAAGTGAATGAAAGCAAGTTTCAAATTATATAGAGATATGAAATCTTCAGATCCCTCTATTAAAACTTTTTTACATATTTTCTATCATTGCATTCAACCCATCGTGTTATATGGTTGTGAGAACTTGGGAGTAATTAACATTACTCAAAAAAGAAAAACACTCTTCCTCTATTTGATATCTTCAAAGATTGGGAAATATAATAGCTTAACTTAAAATTCTGTAAACACATTCTATGTGTTACTAAACTCTGTACAAACATACAGTCCTTTCAGAACTTGGGAGATATCCATTATATTTAGACTTGTTAAAACACATATTTTTGTTCTGGTATAGACTTGAGCACTCCCCATCTGATCTGTTGAGCAGAGCCTATAATGAATATAATTCTAGCAGTAACCAGTCAAATAACTCGTGGTATTCTAATATACTGTTTTACAGTGAAAAACTGGATATTAACCTATCTATCTGCCTAAAAACTTAGTAAAATAAATTTAAATTGTATTTGAAGAAATGTCTCCAGAAGAACTTTCTTAAGACATTGCTAGATATAAGAAATAGTCGTTCAAAAGATACCTGAAAACTCAGCAAATATTACAAATTCAAATTTACTTTCAATTATGAAAGTTACTTAAATATGAAAAATGTTAACAGCAGAAGAACTTCAATAAAATTTAGGCTGAGTAACAACATTTTGAGAATAGAAACTGGGAGACACGAACGAAAAATAAATACAATCTTAGGAAAACTTAAGCTTCTACCCAGATGTGAAAGGCTCTGTCAACACTGTAGAAAATGAACTGCATTTTGTTTTAGACTGCCCTCTATATAGTTCACCAAGATTAGAATTCTTACAAAATTTATTTCAAAAGTTTTCAGATTTGAGAAACATAAAATTTAGAAAGTCTTTTTATCTAAATCATGACAAATGAAGAATAATACTGTTTTTAGTCGGTATCTAAATAAAATTTTCCAGATGAGAGAGGAAAGAAGAGACAAAAGCTAAGGTAAACAAATGGAGTTATCCCTCTTTGTACCGGCTCTCTCCCCTCATGTATGTAAGTTTTTAATTATGTATCTACAGTTGTTCTTAATCATTTTTTAACCATTAACATTCAGTATGTATGTTAGATTGCATGTGTTGTTTGTGTGGATATTGTATGAACTTTGTGATTTGTATTGATTTAAATGCTCTATATGGGCCTTTTAATTAGTAATAAAGACAAGACATTTGATTTGATTTGATTTGATTTTTTTTATGTTCAGACATGTTTGAGTTGACTATTTTGTCTTGAAAACGTATAAGGCAAATATATTTGATACATCATCTCGCTTCAGATTATATTTATATAATATATTTAGGCTACAGGTTGATATAATAACATTAAAAATTCACAGTTGTAAAAAATTAAATATATGGGTCAAGGGAAATAACTTTCCAAGGATTTGTATAGACTTTACTTGTGGATTTTTTTTGTGCCTAACTTAAAAAAAAATATACAAATTATACATTTTTTTGTGTATGTTATCTTTGGTATTTATTCTTCAACCTCTAAAAAATTTTTAGTCTGCCCTTCCACGAAATATTTTATTAGATTTTTTTATAATGTTTTTGAACTTTCGAAAATTCCCCCGGACAACCGATCAGACACTAGTATTAAGTTGACTAAAGGCACAACAGTACATTAAAGAATGCTTAATAGCTAGTAGAGACATTTGTCTTTTAGAATACAACTGTCATATAAGGATCGTTATGATGCTATATGGATAAATTTATCTGTTTTCAAGAGCTAAATTTGTTAGCGCGTCATCCTTACAATGACTTCCATTTTTACGATTGAAAAAATAGGTGGCGTAATTGGGAGATAATTTTAACTAAGAAGAATCCTGACTGAATAGTAATAGCTCTCAAAAAGGAAACTTACAAGATCAACGCTCCAAGATGTTTTATTTTGAATTATTATATTTTTTCCGTTATATTTCAAAGGTAGGAGAACGTACACCATATGTTGATCAACTTACTTTCAAGTCTGATCGTTCTGTTATAGCTAAAATAAGATTAAGTGCTCATTCCCATGAAATAGAAAGAGGGAAATATAACAGAACGGCAAGAAATGAATGATTTTGTAAAGTGTGTACACACAACAACATTGAAGATGAAAACACTTTATTTGGCATTGCCTTAAGGTCAAGGAACAGTAAATGGGCTATTTCACAGATTTTGCTAAAATGTTGCATACAACTTTGGCTCGTCGATCTATAACTGAAAATCGAAAAAAATAATGTATTTAATATCTGAAATATCACTGAATAAATTCTTTCAAAACAGGTGAACATTTATATAGAAAGCACATAAAACCGGCGAAATTTTTTCTTAAATTTGTCTTAAAATCATCAAATCTCCAATTTCTACTACATAGATTTTTCTTAAAAAATTATATGTTGTTCTAACATAAATTTCCGTTTTAATGATATAAAATATTCATATGGTCAACGACTTCGTTTTTGCGGTATACATCATTCAAAGTGGTGTTCTATGTGAAAAAATACCACAAAGGTATATAATCGTAAAGGAGAAGGTCCGGTAAGGGCCGATTTTGGCCTCAAATTTCAGGTTCATCTGATGAAATATTTTGGACACTTTTTAAACACTCAAGTGTCTACTTTAGTAGATTTAATTAGTTTATCTGAAAGATTTGGGCCGATTTAGTCACTAAAGACGCTCAAATTCAGGCTTAAATATTAAAAATCTATCAATTATGCCATAATATGTCACTTTTCAGATGGTTTTTGTCAAAAATGAAAGTGGCCGCATTCGTGTTCATCCTCGATCTTTATATATGATATGTATTATCATCAAATACAACTTACATTTAAATATTAAGAATGAACACGAAAGCGGCCTCTTCCATTTAAGACGAAAACCGTCTAAAAATTAACTCAAATGCTAAAATTGTGAAGATTTCAGTAATTTAGCATGACTTAATGATGCTAGTACCCGATACATGTGCATTGTATTGTCAAAAACAGCCCATATTTATGTAACAGAAGTATTCTTCTTTCCAATAAATAGCTAAAAGTTTACATTTTAACAATTTTGTAAAACTGCTCTATTTTGGGGTCAAAAAGGGGTCTTACTGGACCTACTCCTTTGTCGCGTTGCAGGCCGTGTCTAAATTTTACCCAAATTTTAGAAATATACATAATGATAGCATAAAGTCAAAACTAAAAATATTAAACAGTGCGTCAGTCAACGATAATTGTTATTGTATGTTCAAATTACATTTCTGAATTGTTGAAAATTGGAAATAATGTTTTACAAAACCATTAATGATATTAAAATCAATATCCTGTTTAGAAAGTATTGATTATTTACTTTTCGTATCTTTGTAGATCTATTTTTTTTTTTATGTATTTCTATACAATGTACTAAATTGGGCCTTTACCAATTGTTATAATTCCGTTTGTGCTAATAAACTATTGTCTATTGTCTATACAAACATTACTATATACACAAAGGATACTTTTTTACAGTCAGTATAACAAAGTTTATATGCATTTATTCTATAAGTAACTTTTCACTTGACCTACAAAAACTGTGTGTTTAAAAGCGTACAAGCTAATGACATTTATATACACTGATTCAACTATTAAATGTACTATTAAATTTAAAATTTATTTTGTATGATGGTCTGAATTGGGTTTACAGAAAAGAGAAAAGCGAATTATGGACAAAAAGTGCAGAATAAAGGGCAAACAAATATAAAGAATAGATAAAAATAGGCAAAAAAACAAAAGAAAAATGTGTCTATGGACACGAATGCCCCCGCTTAGTCTTGCTTTTCAAACGAAAATGAGACGGACGGAAGAACGGACGGTCAAAGATAACACTTAATGTCCCCTTCACCTTGCGGTTGGAGCATAAAAATAAAGAAGAGAGAATAACTGGGTGCTGAAATATAAAGAATAGGGAATAAGGCCCATTTTTCCGTAGATTTGACCGGTTATTGTCTATTTTGTAAACCCCATCCAGACCCTCATAGTTATACTAGTACACCAAAGTATTATTATTGGTCTTGCATGTGTTTTATAAATATTTGATACTTGAAACAATGAGTAAAAAACCCAGGAAGATAGTAATTGACACATGTACAGGATGACAAAATTATACAGGATGACAAAATTAAACACTTTTATTGTTTTCGAAGTGTTTCCCGTCTGATTCCATATCCTGTTCATTCATGATGATCATTGATTTCCCCAGATTATACCATAATTTGTGGAACAGCTTACTTCCTCGTATGAATCACTTGACATTAATTCTGGTACACTTTGTAGCTTTCTATTTTCTCGTAATTCAATCAAACAATTTTCTGAATTGGTTAACAAACCTATTGTATTATTTGCATGCGCATGTTCATAGTCGTTACCAATACAAAGGTTCGGGAGTGACTGGTTATAGTTTAGGTGATTGTAAATATTTTCTCTTAATGTTGAACATTTTTTAGGAAAAGGTTTGACGTTTGAGTTGAATCTTCCTGTGAGTGGCCTGGCTTGGTTAATACAATCTATCATACGTGATTCTCGTATTTCACAATAAACATCTTCTTCTGATGCTGCATCGTTTATTTCCTCTAATATGGGTTGAATTCTAATTATTCTCAGGTTATCTTCATGTTCTGTAAAAAAATATAGTATTTTCTGTAATATCTGTATACTTCATTCTATTAAAACTTGACAAGGACAGTTCTTCCAAAGGACAAAAAGGAAAGAATAGTGAATAAAAATAAAAGTTGACAACGATAATTTCAGAGGAATAATGTTGGATCAAATACACGTAAGATTTTTAAAGTGATGGGCAAACAGGAAAGTGACTAAAAATAGTGAGAGAGAAAAAAGACAGAGAAATTACATACTGAAGAAAAACATTAACAAAAATTATAACAACATTAGTACGCACGAATTACATTTCTAGAATAGATCCAGTTTAAAAAGGGGCGGGGTCATATTTGATCCTACAACGGGACTAGGGATCTTATGGCCTCGCCCATCACTGATCGATATTTATTGTCGAAATGCGCATCTGGTGCATTAAAATTGGTAACGTTAATATCATTGATGGAACACCGGGTCAGCTTCAGAAAAATAACAAAATATCAAGATAGGCTAAAGAAAATTTGAGGTCCGAGGAAAACTGAATTAAGATCAGGTCACAAATAATTAACGCATAAACAAGAATGACCAAGGCGACTTTGAATGGCTAGATATTTATTCTCGACAGTCACTTTAGTTTGGGGCTCTGCCTAAGCATTACAAACGTCTTGCTAAAAGAGATTTTTCACTTGTGTAATTGGACTTACATAAAGCAGTTCATGAAATTTTTTTTTTCTGCATAAATCAGAAACGTACAATAATTGTTAGTTTGTTTAATAATCCTTCTTATCCGTGTTATTTTTAAACTTTTTATATATTGTTTTATATTCAACATGTTAAGTTCCCCCAATTCATGAATTTGAGACAGAGTTTCTCTTTTAATTTTGTTACGTTTACCATCCCAAATAAAGAGGTAAATTAATCATTATTCAACGTGTTGAGTAACACGCTGTTTGGATTTGGTAATGTTAGAAATAAGTGATTGAGCTAAGATATAATAAGACTTTCAATTAATGTAATTTTTCAAATTTGAGATAAAAATTTGTTTGACCTACTCTTATTGTTTTCTCAACCTCTCTAAATTAACTAAAAGGTCCATAATTTTGATTTTGATTTATTGTTAATCAAGAGAATACTTACTACTAGTAGATAGGAGTGTTAACTTGGTGGAACACTCCAATCCCCACATTACATACATTGTATATTGGCTATATTTCTTTTTACCTATTCATACCACCTTAATTTTTTTTATACCAGAGCTTTAAGCGAATAATCAGTTAAAATGCGAAGAATCGCATCTGAAGAATCTGGTGAACTATCGTGTAACTAAGTTTGATGTAATCAGAATAATGCCAGTAAAAAAAAATGCTGAGTCTTTAATAGTTAAACCTTTGATATTGTCGTTTTATCGAAGAAATATCTCTAAAATGCCAGCACATAACAACAAAGTATAAGGAGATAAAGGATCTCATTGTATGCAACTCCTCAATAATTGTGTTTTTTTATCTGAAAGAAAGCTATTCTGTGTTACATCAGATTTGGTTTTTCCATAAAAATTGTTGATGTTAAATTTTATGGTATTCCCAAATTTGAAATAATTCCAGGAGATGGAATCATTTTTTTTTCTTTCAAAATCAATGAAGAAGAGAATGTCTTGGATGTTATTTCCTCCGAAAAATGAAAAAAATCATATTTCCACCAATAAATTGTCCAGGTAGGAAATCTGCCTGGTCATTACTGAATAAGAATATAGAATGGAAACGGGAAATGTGTCAAAGAGACAATAATCCGACCAAATGTCAGAAAACAGCCCAAGGCCACCAATGGGTGTTCAACACAGTGAGAAAATCCCGCACCCGGAGACGGGCTTCAGTTGGCCCCTAAAAAATAGTTCAGCGAAATGGACGCCACACTAAACTCTGAAACATACAAATGAACCAACATTTTAAAAACACACAAGTCAACATATTTGATTCTTTCTGCAATAATGCAACTGGATGCCAATTAAAAACTGTGCCTAAATACTAATTGGACGCCAATATTTCATGTATATGCTTTGGTTGATCACCTTTATGAATACAGTAATAAAACCTTGTGTTTTGGTGTAAAAGACTTTTCCCCTTGATTCTAACAATATTTTATAGATCTGTGGATTTGATCTATATCTATTCAAACAAATTTAAAATAATCCTTTGTATATCCATTGGCTCCTGGTCTTTTTGTCAATTTGTATTTTTATTATTGCATCAGTCAATTTTATAAAAGTTATTTCCCGTTCTATAGATTCTCTCATACTTTTTCGCAGTTTTAGCATGTCACTATAAGGGAAAATATTATTCAAAATAATAGTTATTATTGTATCTTTGAGTATTTTAAGATTCGTTTTCTTTGTTGTATCTCTATATTTGTATCTGTTTTTGCTATTTGCTCTAATTTCATTATATCAGTAGATCGCTGATCTTGTTTACTGTTAACAGTTTCTTTATCTATGTTATACTTTTCAAAATAATGGGTAAAAAGGGCTAAATGGATAAAATCCCTATTTAAAGGCAATTACTCTATGAGGAGTTGCTGGATAATTTTGGGGCGAAAAATATTAGGTATACCTTAACATTCTATATAGATATAAGAAGATGTGGTATGAGTGCCAATGAGACAAATCTCCATCCAAGTAAAAATTTATAAAAGTAAACCATTATAGGTCACAGTACGGTCTTCAACACGGAGCCTTGGCTCACACCGAACAGTAAGCTATAAAGGGCCCCAAAAAATTACTAGTGTAAAACCATTCAAACGGGAAAACCAACGGTCTAATCTATATAAAAAACGAGAAACGAGAAACACTTATGAACCACATCAACAAACGACAACTACTGAACATCAGTATGCATTTTTTGCCAAGTCAGGTTTTCTCTGTCTACTTTTATTTCAAGATATTAGATAATTACATGCATTTTACCCGTATATTGTTATAATTTTAGCCATAGCAGCCTTGTTTGTTGATTGGCAGGATCGAAAAACAATTAACCGTATATAAGGAGCATGTAGTCAAAGTTTGATAAAAACAAAAACAAAAAAGGTCGTGAGGTTTCAGATGAGATTATTTTTAAAAGTTTACAACGACGACGACGACGGACGACGACACCGTGGAGGTGGCAGTAGATTACATGGCACACCAGGAGGTACAAAGGTGGCGATAAAAACATAATGATAAATCGAAGGAAAGATTAACTGTGGCCAAAAGAGAAATAAGTTTCATTCAGGATAATTAAGAGTTTGACACATATTAATTTAAAGTTTAAAGAAAAAATAGTACCACTTACCGTTACCTAGATGATATATATATTTTTTCATGAAATAATCTAGAATTTATAATTTTACAGCGAAAATTTAATCTTCAGGAACTTACTTTCATAAATCTAATATAAGCAGTGATAACAATTGAAAACAATACTTTATACATTTCATGCGTCCGAAGCGCTTTTCTGGATTACCCTTATCAGGAACGCTCAAAGTCGAATATTTAAAAGCCAAGGATGTATAACAACCGAAACAGTTAAAGAGCTATATGACGAAAAAGGACCTAAAAAATAGCCAAATCCGTCTAAAACAACTTTGCCTGATGGAGTTGAAACCTTATAATTGTCCCTTTCTTAATTTGGATATTTCAGTTTAACATTAGAAAATATATACGAAAATTTACAACAATCGAGACTATACTTTTACCTTTTACTAAATTCTTTCTTAGATACCCAAATTTGATTTGGAAGTTTCGCTGTTATTTTAGAAATCTTATTATAAACGGAACTTATTTTTATAGTAATGGTGATAATAGAGCTCGTAAATTAAAAAAAAAACCCATATAAACGTATTAGTCATTTGAATAAACTAGTTATTAGAGGTTATCAATTTAGCATATTATAGTAAGATCTTTGAATATCATTTTATTGGAACTAATGCTAATTTTATTAACCACGTGCCAACTTATGATGAGTCAAGCTATTTCCAACTCTATTTTACAGATTGTTCTTATGTTATGTTGTTACATCACTGTCCCAGATTAAGGGGAAGAGCGCACACAAAATGTTTAACCCCTCATTATATATGTGCCTGTCCAAAGTCAGGAGACTGCATTTCAGTAGCTGTCGTTAGTTGCTTTCTGTCCTATTTGTTTTTTCATAAACCAGGTCGTTGGTTTTTCGTTTTTTACTTTTTTCATAAACCAGGTCGTTGGTTTTTCGTTTATTAATTTTTTCATACACAAGGTCGGTTTTTTTTTCGTTTGAATTGTTTCACATTTTTTCATGTCGGGGTCTTTTACAGCTGACTATACGGCATGGGTTTTGCACATTATTAAAAACTGTACGCTGATCTACAGTTAATTAAATCTACACCATTTGGACTCTGGAGAATAGTTGTCTCCGTGGCAATCATACCGCATCTCCTCATTTTATACCTTTTGTTGTTTTGGTGCAATAACGTGCACACTGTTAAACCAATGATATTCAAATGTTACTTAGTTGTATAGGAGGCCACCTTGATATTTATGGGAGAAGTGCAGGAGAATGTTTAATAAAATGAATATTAATTTTCACCTGTTGCTAGGCGCGCGGAAATTTGTTGTTTTTCTCTGTGTTTTTTTGTGCACAATTATTTCCTGCATTTTGTGAGGCAGGATTTTAATATGTTGTTACTAATGACAAAATTAATACCACAAGTTTGATATTGATAAATACCATTTTTGCCGTTCATGCCCTAAATGACTTTAGCAATAACACTTAAAAATGTAATAAAAACCCTGGTAATTGTCATTCGACCGACTATCATTTTTAACAATTAAAATGAATAACTAAAAATATATTGCTATCTACGTATTAACAATAATGGTCCAACATCCTGTCGATACTCATATTTAGGCATTGGACAAGGTCTTACTTTCTGCAGTCTGGTAATGTGTCTGACTAGCATTTTAGTCTGGGATAATATTGTATATTTGTTAGTTGAAATTGCATTTTGAGCTAGCTTTCAATATCATAGACCGGTAGCTTGTGTTTTTGTTATATATTTTTGTTCTAGATCTTTTGCCGCTCTGAGCTCTTTCATGCAGATTTTTACATTTTGTTCTTATGTTGTGTTGTTACACAACTGTCTTAGGTTAGATTAGGGTTAATCACCTAAAAACATGTTTAAACCCGCCACATGTGTCTGTCCCAAGCCAGATGTCTGTAAACCAGTGGTTGTCGTTGGTTACTTTCTGCCATACTTGTTATTTTATTTATTGTTGTAGTATAAATCAGGCCATTGAATTGTTGCAAATCTTGTCATCCCAGTGTCTGTTATTATAGCTTTCTATACTGTTACATGTAATTGTTCTCATCTTTGTCTTTTTGTCCTTATGAATAACTGTCTCATCGGCAATCATACTACTTCTCCTTTTGTATTATCAGACATTTATTTTTGACAAAAAGAATTTTTGTTGATATCTCAGACTGGGTGTCTTTCTTTGTGTCTTTGGAATGTGGTCGCAATGATACAAGTCTCGTTTGTCTTTCTTCGTAAATTTATAGAAAGGAGAACATACCAGTTTGCTTGGAGTTTGACAGGAATTTGCAAATTGTTTTTGCGAGTCCAATTCTGAAATTAACAGAATTATGTGGTTTGAAATATATATAAATATATATGTTCATAGTTAGTTAATTTGTTATCTTATTGTTATTGTGCAGCCTTTATGGTAAATATATACATATATATATAATAAAAACTATAACACAATTTTCAATACGTTTCGGCCATTACGGCCTTCTTCATTGGAATAAATTACAACATTGAAACAACAATTGCATCGCTTGGATACATTACGTTATCATAACTACTATGACGTTCATTTGCCGCGTTTTTTCTTTTTTTATAAATATTTTCACTATCGTTCATACATTGTGTTGAGTCCATCAGGCTCTAAAGTTTTTAATTTTTTTATCCAAAAGACTTCTTTAGTTTTTTCTGAAAATTTCTGTTCCAAATACTCTTTCTATGGCGGTAACTTTTAAATTTTTCATCGAATGATTATGCTGAATGAAGAATGAACAACATAAAAGACATCTTAGTGCACAAGAAGCACAATTTACTATTTAATAAACAAACTAATGGCTGTGGACCATGCGGTAAAAATTGTGCATTATGCTCACACATAAATGAAACCAAGTTATTTTGTGACAACACCGGGAAAGAATATACCATTCAGGGACAAATAAACTATAAAACCGTGGGCGTAGTATATGCAATTAGCTGTACAAAATGCGAAAAACTTATATATGTAAAACAAACGGGTGATACACTATATCAACGGATGCTATTGAACTTTCCGAAAATACGAACAAACAAAACAGACGATCCGGTAGCAAACCACTTCATTCAGCATAATCATTCGATGAAAAATTTAAAAGTTACCGCCATAGAAAGTGTATTTGGAGCAAAATATATATATATAACGTCATTTACGAATTCACGTACCAGCTTAATTGGAGTGCATTAAATTTGTTAATGAGTAAGGTGTGACTATGTATAATTTGTAAATTTCGTCAAAGGTTAATGACTAATGAAAAACAACTGTGTTTTTCGTGAATTAAAAATGGTGCGCTTGTATGCCATATATACTAAACATATTGTATTTATAGACAATGGTCCCAGTGCAGTAGATTTTTTCAAAAGGGATTTGTATTTCAGATGTTTCAAATGATTTTTGCGCCGTGAGATTTTAAATGCATATTACAGAACAGAGAGTGTATATATGTTTTTGAAGAGTGTTCTCCTCACGAAAATTCTTGAGGTGTAGCTGCAGAAATAATGTTAGATAAACATCTATACCAAAGTGCCTGCTTTCAAAGCCAATACGACTTGTACGTTCCAAGGATTTGAGGTAAAAAAAAACAACAGTTTTTCTATTTCATAAACCAATTGGGAATGTATTCATACTCTCTCACTAACAGGAAAAGATTGATTTATTGTTGACTGCGTAACGAAAAGTGACAATATTTTAACCATACTATTTTCACGGAGAAAGACCTCATGCAATGTGATTTGGCTGAACATCTGAGGCATATACTTTCTGAATATCTATATTTTTTAGGTAAGTGCGACCCATTTTTTTTTGTATTTAGATGTTGATCATTTTAGAAATACTAGAACACACCCGCGAAATCGCGGGCATTTAAAGCGTGGTTGAAAGTATGTAAACTGTTGTAGGATTAATTTTTGTAAAAGATTTTATGACTGGAGAATTTCAGGAAAGGTATCAAAAGTCATAGGTACTTGGTGACAGGACAATTTTTTTAGCCCTCCCCCTTTTTTCCAAAGTCCATTATTTTTTGTTTTCTGTTTTTCTGTATACTATAAATAAAGCGTATTTGCTATTTACTATCAACGGCGGTCACTGATATATTATATAGAGAATATATCAGTGACCGCCGTTGATAGTAAACTTGGAATTGATAGTAAATAGCAAATATGCTTTATTTATAGTATATGTATGATCATAGTATACAGAAAAACGCGAAAATAATTTTCCTGTCCCAAGTACTTATGAAAATTGTGTAATTTTAAAACAGTCCTAAACGGAAGTATTGTCTATGGCTTAAAAGTCTGTCCAATGACGGAAACAATATCCGGATGCCTTTATTTTCGTTTTCCTCCCAAAATAACCCAAACTGAATAATCATAAGTGAGGATGACAAATGCGACTATGCATGGTACCTATAGGACACAGAGGCATAATGATTAATTTATTGTGGAAGGAAGAGAAGCGACACACAAAATGAGGTCTTCTCATTTAATAGTATAGATGAAGGTATTTGTTAAAGAAATTAACAATAGAATCATGTTTGAATTAAGGGTATACTAAGCTTGCTCAAGTTAGTTTGAAATCGCCTTTTTTTCTTTTCCTATGACAAGTGGTAAACGGAGGAATCGGATAGGGACATAACTGGAGAAAAAACAGCCAGTTAATGCACTCCTCAAAATATAACAAACGTTAACTCACTCGAAAATCAAAGAAAAAACTACCATTCATGTTACTAACAAGTTTTAAGAACTTTCAAGATCTACGAATGAATATGTATTCGTTATTTATAATGGTACGTTGTTAAATTTTGAGATTTAAAAGCGTTGACTGAAGCACTTTTTGCGTTCATACTTAAAATGTGGCGCATGATCAACGATTTTTCAATCCTATAACATTACAAGAAGAAGCATTCATTTCTTTTAATTACATTGTTATGCTACAACCGTAAAAAAACGCGTTATATCACATTTTTCGTTTGTTTTTCTATGCATTGTTGTAACATTGTCACGGAATGCACGTGCCGTCAGGAATGATAAATTTTATTGGGAAATAAAATCTTATTCTAAATTGCCAATCGATTGTTGTAAGCCAATCAAAAGTACCAATTCTTATGAAACAAACAAAATAGGTGCATTCACTTATATTAAAGTTTATTACTTACAGGATCAAATATAACTTACTTGATAAACAATGCACCACCAACAATTAACAGCAATACACCAACGACAGCTACATACACCCATATAGTCAATTGTCCTTGATTGTCATTATTTTGGTTCCCTGGGAGAAGTAATACTACTGTTAATTTTAAGATTGTTTTTCTCCCTCAGAATAAATAAGAAAATTTATTATACTATTTTATTTAAAGAGATCTTTACTCTGACACATTTGTATAATTTGTCGTATTGTGAATTTATAATATCATATTATTAAGTTATATTTATTACATTTTTGAACATGCATTTTTATATGTTGTGTAGTTTGCCTTATTCTTTTTTTCCTCATCAATCTTGTCTCCATGTAAAAATATGTTGTTGAATATATGGTGCATATTCTCATTATTTGAAAAAAAGAACATGAACTTTTTGCATATACCTTCGGGTCTTTGTGTCAGTGAAATATCTGGTTTATAATGTCTAGTTGCATGTTCTGTTGATATATCAGTAGGCTCTGGGTTGAACAACTTTGAAGATTGTATGTCTGAAATAATCATGCTAACATCTAAAATTAGGGTTAAATAACTTTTTTAAAAGTAAAAACAATAACAAACAGATCAAGAGGCTCTCAAGAGCCTCAATCGCTCACCTGTAAATTTTTGCTTAAATCTTTCATCAATGATTATTTTTGCTTTTCAATATATATTAAAGAATGGCTTAAAACTTCCATTGAAATGTTCTTTGTATCTGTAATATTTTCTTCAAAATCAAAGAAATGCATTTTACCCCTATGTTTCATTTTAGCCATGGTGGCTATGTTTCTTGACGTACAAGAAAATAAAATACATAATTTATACTAGATACTCTGAAACGCATCCAAGTTTGGCTGAAATTGATTCAGCAGTTTCAAAGGAGAAGATTTTTTAAAGAAAGCAAACTAAATGAACAAATTGTGAAAAATTTATTTTAAAGGGCAATAACTCCTTAAGGGGACAATTGACAATTTTGGTCATCGAACTTATTTGTAGATCTTACTTTGCTTAACATTTTTGCTGTTAACAGTTTATCTTTATCATTAATAATATTCAAGATAATAACCAAAATCTGCAAAATTTCATTAAAATTACCAATTAAGTGGCAGCAATCCAACAATGGGTTGTTAGATTCATCTGAAAATTTCTGGGCTGACAGAGCTTGGCCTAATAAACATTTTTACCTCCATCAGATTAGCTCTAAATGCTTTGGTTTTTGAGATATAAGCCAAAAATTGCATTTTACCCCTACGTTCTATTTTTAGCCGAAACAGAAAATAAAACACAAACTTTATTTTTAGATACCCTTAGAATCATTCAGCTTAAGTTTGGTTGGAATTGGTTCAGCAGTTTCAGAGATTTTTCAAAGTTAGAAAACATGATAAACAAAAAGTGTAAAATTGTCCTTAAAGGGCAATAACTCCTTAAGGGGTCAATTGACAATTTTGATCATATTGAACTTATTTGTAGATCTTACCTTGCTGAACATTTTTGCTGTTCACAGTTTATCTTTATCATCAATAATATTCAAGATAATAACCAAAAACTGCAAAATTTCCTTAAAATTACCAATAAAGTGGAAGCAACCCAACAATGGGTTATCAAATTCAACTGAAAATTTCGGGGCTGATAGAACTTCACCTAATGAACACTTGAATCCATGTCAGATTTGCTCTAAATGCTTTGGTTTTTGAGATATAAGTCAAAAACTGCATTTTACCCCTATGTTCTATTTTTAGCCATGGCGGCCATGTTATTTGACGAAACAGTAAATAAAACACAAACTTTATTCTAGATACCCTAAGCATCATTCAGCTTAAGTTTGGTTGGAATTGGTTCAGTAGTTTCAGGGGAGAAGATGTTTGAAATAGTTTACACCAGACGGACGACGACGGACGACGGACGCCAAGTGATGGCAAAAGCTCACCGTTCCTTCCTTCGGAACGGTGAGCTAAAAATTTAATTGGAAAGTCAATATACATAACAGTTGTTTGAGGGATGCGTTCGTAGCTAACCCGTTGCGAGTCAAAATGTTATTACCATAACAAGACTTTCTTTTTCTATGATAAGGTAGTAATTGCTTTTAGTTTACAATTTCTTCAGGTCGGATGAAAAATCCGATAGAAATGTAAATGCTACCTTATTGCTTGTGTGGTAGAACTTGCTTACCTTTCCAGCAGGATTCGTTTTGCTCAAGCTGTATATTTCTGTGTAGTGTGGTTTGGACTGTTGTTTGTATGTTCGTGTTTTTCTGTTGGTCCTTGTGTTGGTTTTTTTTTTTTTTAATTAATGGATTTAAAGGACAGTCAGTTTTATCAAAGTTTAAGAATGAATGAAATCAAAGAATTATTTCAAAAATGAAACATATGTTGCGGATACGTAGGCATGATCATGTCCAACGTCGGTTTGTCTTTTTTTCCCTTTGATAATTCTGTCCACTCATCCTCAATTAAACTTGTACGCTTACATCACTAATAGTCTCAAATAAATGTTCACAGTTTTGATGTATCATATGGATATGATTGCACATGACACGTGTTCCTTCGTCAGGTATGCGCGACCTCTCGGAGATCTTTTGGAGATGTTTATGAATGAATATCTTGTTGTCTGACTACCTTCATTGCAAAGAAATAAAACTACAGAAAGTGAGGTGTATATGCTTTGGAATGGCTGTGTTCAAAAAAAATATATGCAATCCATTGTTTTCTATCTTATTATCCTCACTTTTCATTAGTTAGTTTGGATTACCAAGGAAAAAGTTTTAAAAAGAAAATCATTTCCGAGTGTCTTTTCCGTTATACGATTTTGATATATGTAAATACTTCCGTTTGTCATGTATGGATATGTAAGCACATGTTAAGTTATTAAAAAGATATAAGACTAATATAAGTTACATATCAAAACTACAATAAACCACAAAACATGCAACATGCAAGTCTTCAACGGTACACATGCAACTAAACCGTAACGTCAAGCTCTTTTAGACAAGAAAAATAATTCGACAGATACTACTAAAAATATAATATTACTACCGATTTTTTTAATGAAAGAACATCATTACGAAACAACAAATACCAATGACAATATTACTGACTTGGGACCGGTACATTTTTAGTTTCAAAATTAAAGTTAATATATGTAGTACAGTGCATGTTATTCTTTCCTAGAGACATGATTGTTCACCAAATTCATTTAGAAAAAAGAAAAGTATATTCCGAAACTCCACGGTTTTTGCCGGCGTTCATGTTGCGCAATATGTAGTTTTCTATTTAAATTAATAAAATTTTATTGCATTTATCAAACAATAGGATTTGACACAAGTTATTACAACTTATATTAAGTCCTCTCCTTTCATATACAATAAACATATATGATGAAAACAAACACATACATAATATATAGCGTAACTTATAGAAAATAAAGGAAGAAATCACACATTGGCATGGCAACAAAAAAAGCAAATAGGACAGATAGAAAAAAGAAAGCTGCTGACTTAGAATGTTTAAATCTTTTAGACTATTTACTGAAATAACGAACTTTATCAAAAATTTTAGAGTTAGTTTCGTAATTATATGCATCTTTTCCAAACAATAGCGTTTCAATGTCAATGTGTATGTTCATATTTATAAGTTCATTAACCAGAGATATTCTTTGGTTATAATATAATTGGCATTCTAGAAAGTAATGGATGGCATCTTCAACAGGAGAACAGCATGAGCATTTAGAATCATTCACTACATTTATCTTATTTAAGGTAGCACAATACAAAAGCAACTAAATTTTATCAAAATTTCATTATCAGCTGTTTTTGTTGCTTCTTATTAGTCCAAAACCACAGAAGAAAAATATAGTTCCATATCTTGCACTGTTAATGAGTTTTGATGACAATTAGTTTAATAAACAAATGCACGTGTCTGACTGATACAAGATAAGAACATGTTGGCAGTACTTTGTGGTTAATCAATAGAATTATTTAATGAACTGCACTGGTGCCTAAGTCTTGTATGCAGTATATTAAATTTCTAGACCCTTCACCATAATATGTTGGAGGTTTAAATGGTTCACCCTTTATTTTTCGTTTAAATTGTGGGATATTTGGTGCGTTTCTTATAGTTGGATTTAAATTATTCCATATTCTGACAGTAGATGGTACAAATGACTTTTCAGTTATTCGTAGTCTACATCTAAGGGTATATAATCATCATTATTTCTTAGGTTGTATCCACTGACATCAGATAAAACTGGAGGTAGACAGTCGATTAAATATTGGGGACAAAATTTAATTTGCATTTGATAGAAAATTGTTAATTTTCCTTGTCTACGGCTTTCTGCTAAAGTTTCCCAGCCCGTTTCAAAATATAAGGATTCTAAACTTGAAAATTTTGTAAGCCCTGTTACTATCCTTGCAGCTTCTAGATGTATTTTTTCTAGTTTATCAGATTCATATTCAAAACACCCATCCCATACTTCGCATCCATATTCCAATAGTAGTGTTATAAAAGTGACATAGATATTAGATAAGCTTTTTTTAGAAAGTGTAAATTTTAGTTTCCTCAGTACATTTACTTGTTTTAATGCAGACTTTGTAATATTATTTATATGGCTGGTCCAGTTTCCATCTGATGAAAGTGTGACACCTAAATGCTTGTGACATTTAACAGTTTCAACGTTTTCACCATTAAATAAAATATTCATTTCTGGTGGTTTAACATTTGCAATTACCAATGCTTTAGTTTTCTTTGGATTAAAATCTACCAACCGTTTTTTGGCCCATTCATTTAAACTAAAAAGGTCTTTATTAATATCACTTTCAACTGTTTGAAAGTTGCTACCAGAATATGAGAGAGGTGTCGTCTGCAAATAAACGGGATAGGTTATGGAGATTATCTGTAATGTCATTAATATATATAATAGAAATAGTAGAGGACCCAATACAGAGCCCTGCGGATCTCCTGCCTTGATTTCGCATTGAGTTGAAGTTTCATTGTTTATAAAAACAACTTGCTGTCTGTTGCTGATATAGTCCTTAACCCAGTATAAAAGCTTACCGGATATTCCATACGAAAGTAGTTTTTGAATAAGGCCTACATGCCAGATTCTCTCAAAGGCTTTTGATATATCACAAAATACTGTAATGGTAGATAACTTTTTGTCTAGGTTTTGACAAACCCTATGATAGATTTCCAAGAGTTGGTAAATAATTGAGTGGCCTTTAAGAAATCCTGACTGGTATGCATAAAATAATGAGTGCTCTAATATATAATTATAAATATGTTTATACACTACTCTTTCCATTACCTTCCCTACAGAACTCAATAAAATATTGGTCTATAATTTGAAGGAATTGATTTATCCTCTTTTTTAAAAGAAGCCATAACTCCTGGCAAGTTTCCATTGTGTTGGAAACTTACCAGCTTTAAGTTAATTATTGAATAGAATCAGTAGAGGTTTATTAACAGAATCCGCGGTTCCTTACATCATCTGATGGCCATTTAAATCATTACCACATGCTTTGCCTATTTTCAACGTTTTTAGTATATCTTTAATATCTTGCTCGATTATTACCAAATCAGACAAAGAGAAATTGGTTCTGGGTTTTATAATTGGTGTATCATGGTTAGTATCATTGTATACCGTTTCGTTTAATATCAAATAGTGGTGGAATAGTATAATTACTATTTGTTCTCTTTAAAAGTTTTTTTAATAAGAGAACAATAAGCATTTGAATCGGTTTTCGATATAGAGTCGACAAGTTCATTGGCACTTAAGAAAACTGCTCGCGGGTGTATTTTATCATATTATTAACTTTGTTTCGCTGAAATTTGTACTTTAATAAGAGCATGGTTGGTTTAGGTTTTCCTATGCACAGAATGTAGACGATTCTGGATTCTGATTTCCCTTCTGATTTCCGAATCAAACCAAGGTTTATCGTTAGGTCTGACAAGAATTGCTTTGGACGGTATATGTTTCCGTATCATCCGTAGTTTTCTATGTAGTATGCTTATATGCTTGTGGACTATTGTAATAATCTGCTCGTCTTCATTTTAAAAAGAGATGCTGTCCGTATTCCTTTGACTTATATTTTTCATTATTCCTTGCATATTATTTCTTTTTTTTTTGTCTTATAAAATATTTCCTTACGAACTTTGTTAATTACTGGCTATTCATTAGTACAGCATTTTATTTTTAACGTTATAGTGAGAGCGACGTGATGTGGTATACAGTAGTTACTTAGTTTACGATTGAAAAAATTGTCCCCATTACACATAAATGATACATTTTGATTTTAAATGTATCGCTGGCAACAGTGCACATTACCTTCTGTAGTATCATATAAATTTTCTGTCGTAGTTGATAAATGTTCTCCACACCCATAAATGTGATGACATCTACAAATATATTCAGCATATAATGTCTGTTAAAATGATGAACCATTATTAGAATCAAAAATTTAACTTTCATATACATATCCCGTTTGTATATGTTGACGAAGAGCTGATATCGTCCCTATAATCTATTTGCATTTTGTTGGTTTTTTGGGGTTTTTTTTTGTTTATTTTGCCATTGGGAATTTATCTCATTGACGTATATTCTACATCAAATTTTATCCATATGGAACATGGTCGGTTGTTTAGAAGGTAAATTACCGTTTTGTTTTGCATTATTTTATATCATAGATATATGAAGATGAGGTATGAGTGCCAATGAGACAACTCTCCATCCAAGTCACAATTTGTAAAAGTAAACCATTATAGGTCAAAGTACGGCCTTCAACACGGAGCCTTGGCTCACACCGAACAGCAAGCTATAAAGGACCCCAAAATGACTAGTGTAAAACCATCCAAACTTGAAAACCAACGGTCTAATCTATATAAAAAACGACAAACGAGAAACACTTATGAACCACATCAACAAACGACAACCACTGAACATCAGGTTCCTGACTTAGGACAGGTGCAAACAAATGCATGTTTCAAGAACGTGTACAAAAATTTCAACAACACACTTAAATTACGGTTTAACAAATACTACTACCTTAAAACACGATTAAACAGATACTACTTCATGTCTCTTGCACATGATGACAACTAGCTTTAAAGCTGTTGTTAGATCTAAATCGAAGTTTTTGTTTTAACTTACAAAGTTTGTCCAAAAGTATGAATGTATCGCTATAAGAACTACCATCAAGTGCAAGAAGTCCATACTGTGACTAGTATATCATCAAAGAAAAATTAACAGTCAAGTTATATGTTCTCCGATTAGGACAAACTGTTTCCACTATGAAATTGAAAATTTCTCCCTGTTGTAGAACTCAAATTACAGCAAAGCTGAATAACTACCAAACGAATCACAATTTAACAGATATTTTTGATAGTACATGTATCTGAAGATATCAGATTTTTTTGGGGTCAATTTTCCTTTTTTAGGGTATATTCATTTGTATTGTCCCTATCCTAGAGAGCTTATATTAATCGGCTGTGTGCGCATGTTTGTGTCATGGACTAAAATGAACAAAATGTCACTATCAGTAGAAAAGTTTTAAAATATCAAATCAAGGATGCTACATAATGAATTGGCTAATTTTTAAGGAATGATTATGGAAGCTTCATTTAACTCTGAGTAATTTTGAAGTCTGCTGTCTGCTTCTGATACAAGCTAGTATATGACCAGTGGATATTTGCCTATTTTTAATAGACGAACATTTTGTCTCAGTATTGTTTTCCAATCTTTAAATATTGCATTTTTAAAATAAGAGTTATTAAGCAGGATTTCAATACCATCAGATGATCATATATCAGTTTAAGATAGATCATAAGTATATATTTTTTGAGACAGAATTTTCTTATAATTTGCCAAAATGAAGATTTTACTATGCTCTTTTCAAAAATATAATAAAAAGTATTGGTCACCGTGCTATTTTTCAAGCTATTAGTCGTTGAAAATTGCCTAAATTTGGTTAGATTGTTCATGAAAAAACACATTTGTGTGCATAAAAAAATTTCTATGAGATACAATTTTGAAATAAATTGTGAGAAGATATGCTAACTTTATAATATGTTTTAAGAAAATAAAAAGAAAAAATGGTGTCACCGAACTTGTTTTCTTGCTACAAAATTACCCTATTAGTCCAGTATAAATTTTTTTACTAAAAGAGTTATCTCCCCTTAAATGGCTCATTTGAAAAAATTATTCTAAAAAAAAAAAAAAAATGATATTTGTTTAAATATTTTGAATAATACAATAAATCACCAAGTCTTCTTTATATAAATAAATAGTCTAACCATTAAATTGCAAATCTGTCTCCAAATTTGCAGATTTGGGCAAATAACTAGACCGATTTTGTACTGCGATTGTACAATCCAAGATGGCGGTATACCATGAATCTACCTTAATTGCCTGCATTCCTTGAAACGTTAGATGGTATAGTATTTGAGTATTCACGAAGCTGTGTTTAAAGAGATAATTGAATTAAGTATGTTTTGTTGTTCCTTTATGGATACATTTGTACTGCGCATAGTTAACTGGCATGAAAATACAGATAGTAATACATTTATTAAAATTTGCTGTTATGAAATTTTTTAAATCAATTTAGATTACAGAATGCATCTCCCTAGCTCTGATTCTTTGTCCGTGTTTGTCTTTACTGTCGGTCCTTTTGTTTTTGTTTTAGTCAGCTCTTCAAAAAAAATGAAAACAACACGTTATAAATTCAACATTTGAATTAAGTTTTGGATTTTCAAATTTTCAAAAACTTTAGCCTCGACCATCACTCAAAAGCCAATTGTCTAAATGCTCATATGGTCCATTAAAATTGGTACCTCCTATGCAAATTCGAAAGTCCCTTCTATGTATTGGCTTTCTAAAATTCCCCAAAAAAAAACGGTTCATATTTCGTTTCTTCTCGGAATCAAGTAGGTGTTCTACGACTATTCTGTCTAGGCTGTTAACTAGTTCCCTTATTCACATTTAAGAACTTGCTATTATTTTTTGCAATAGGCATAAAGCATATGAGAATAATTGAATGAACTATTTTTGGAGTATGAAAAACTCCTTGGATGTTTTTTGGATGAATTACGTGCTTTTGATTGCCTGTTCTATTCGGTTGACAGTTATGCTTTTTCGACTCTGTACACTACACAACCACATAATCTTATCAAACAGAAGTTCTCTGAATTAGTTAAATGGTCATTTGAAAATCTGGTTGCACATTTATTTGCTGTTATATAAAGCCTTCTTCTGTAAAGAAAAAGGGAAATGTTCTACATAATTTTATACTAACTGGAATTGTGATGAGATGATTAAAGTTTTAAATGTTCTCCTTGACAGCATCTATGTACGTTTCAGCAATAAAGTTTATCGACAGGTTGTAGGTATTCCTATGGACACCAATTGCGCCCCGTTAATAGCAGATTTTTTTCCTCTATTGTTATGAATCACAGTTTATGGCCAAACTCAGTAAAGATCCGTCTAAATTACATTAAATAGATAAATTTTGAAATACTTACTTGTCTTGGTGATATATAATCTTACAACAGAAATTTACCAAAAGATTCTTAATTTGAATAAATCTAATACAGACAGTTATAATTGTCCTTTTTCTAGATTTGGATATTTCAGTTTCACACGGGAAACTCTATACAAAAATTTACGTCAAAAGAGACTTTTTTTCGTTCCCGATTGGTAAACGTTCCTTTTTGGACGGTGATGTCCCTTTGGCCCCTTCTTACGGTTTGTATATTTCACAAAGTGATCGCTATGCCGTGTCTGTAGTCGCGTTTAAGACTTTAATTAACGTAAAGTGTGTATAACTGGTAAATCAATACGTCAGGGATTTCGTTTCCACAGTTTAATTAAAATCTTCACCAAATTCTTTCATAGATACAAAGATTTGATTAGGAAGTATGACATTGCCTGTTGATCGAATTCTTATTAAAATCACGATATCACCTGGCACATCCTAATTTTTACGATGATGTTGTTTATAGAGCCCGTAAATTTAGATACGATTCATGTAAACTACGTGATCCTTTGAATTAACTTATTCTTAAAGGTTATCAATTTAATATAGTAGTAACATTTTTAAATATTGTTTTCATCGGTACTAACATAGATTTTGTTTTCGAAAAATTAAAACATAACTAAATATATATTGCTATATATATGTACAGTTATGGGAACTCTTTATCCTGCATCCTGTCGATTCTGTTTACTTATATTTTGGCACTGTACAAGGTCATGCGTTTCTCATACTGTTAATGACGTCTTTATACTAAATCCGTTGGTTGTGTACTGATTGATACTTTAATCTGAGAGAACATGGTTTATTTATTAGTTTTAATTGGTTTTGAACTAGCTTTCAGTAACTGCGGGTCCTCTTATATCGGTGCTTTGTGTCTATTGTTTTTATGTTAGTTGTTTTGTGCCTCGTACCGATCTTTTGATTTACCAATTGCAACTGATTTTTACAGTTTGTTCTTATGTTGTGTTGTAAGACCACTGTCCCGGGTTAGGGGAGGGTTGAGCGCTCATAAACATGCTTAACTCTGCCACATTCTTTATGTGCCTTTTCCAAGTCAGGCCTGTAGTTAAGTGGTTGTCGTTGGTTCATGTCTGTCGTAAATTGTTTTGTTATAAAACAGGGCTGCCCTTAGTTTTCTCGTTTGAATTGTTTCACAATATCATGTTGGAGTCTTTTATTGCCGACTATACGGTTTTCTCATTGTTGATGGCCGTACGGTTGCTTATAATTGCTTATATCCTCTCCATTTGAACTCTGTTGGATAGTTGTCTCATTGGCAATCATACCACATCTCAGTCCTTATTTTTATACCGTTAATTTCATTACCCTCACTTGGTCGATACCTCTGCTACTGGACTGTGAGTCCCCAAGGGTATTACCAACACAGTAGCAATTACGTTGGTACCAGCATGAACATACGGATATTGTTTAATTGATTTCTGTTGTAATTTTTTTTAGAAATAATTTAAAATTAAGGAAGGTATTTCCCTTATGCACACCTGTATTCTTTGTCCGGGTCTGTCTTTACTTTTTGTCCTTTTTTGTTTTATCATCGGTTCCACGTTTGTTCTTCAAAAATTTTGAGGAGCAACAATTAAGAGACGTTAATTCAGAAATGCTCATATGGTGCAAAAAAATTGGTACCGTTAATGTTTTTTACTGTGCCATTTGCTTATCCACTATTTTTCGACACAAGGAAAAACACTCAAAGCCAATATAACTCGCAGCTAGCTCAGTTACTTATTCTTAGTTTGGAATCTCCTTAGTGTTCTTCAATAAATTTTGTTTTGTTTTGTGTAAACGTTTTTGCTGCGTTGCATCATTCATCCCAATTATATGAATATCTTAACTGAAACGATTTAGAGCTTGGAAGTTTCAATCGTTGTAAACGATATGTGACCTAAATATATTTACTTTTATGGACTTTTAAATGTCTTTCTCATATTTTCTTCATTCTTATTTCATTAATTATAATAAATACGTTTCTCCAAAGTATCATGTATCTTTCATACATTAGTTTAGAAACAGCTACAGTTTAAGTTCGTCTCAAATAAATATTGACACTAGTATACTCTTATTATATAGCGAATTTCTGATTTATTTCTGTTATTTTCACATTTAAGAAATTAGTCGATTTTGGACAACTTCAGTTATTTCGTCTTCACCTTATTATACATAAGGTTTGACCAAAAGTTGGAACATATGTCATATTGTGTTACTTAAACAATGATAATTTTGAACACGTTTTATCAGGTGTACTTTCGTCAAGAGATAACATCACTACAGATCAGATTAGCAAATGTGCTCCTGAAAAATACATTTTGTGATAACCTTGAAGTGACATATCATTTAATTTACACCAATAAGCAATATACTTAAATGAAGAAAGTTCGTGACTAATTTATCTATCCAGTACAATCTTTTTATGCATTTTCCAAATTGATTCTATAAAAAAGTAAACAAAGAGCGCAAAATCACTCGTAGAGTCGTCTGTGTCCTGCAAAAGTAATTTCCTTAACAGGTCAGATGTACATTATGTGTAAATAGAAAATTTATTTTTCTAAATTTATTCTGTCGAGTGTTTCATGGAGTATTAAATATCTGATAAAATATAAATATGATTAAAAGTATGATGTTAAGATTATTAATACTAATTGCAACTGTCAGCATTTTGATAAAGATTGATAACAGTTAAAGTGTGTAGAAAGGTAAAGAGTATCTTCAATTCACCTCTTGCATTCACATAAGTTTTCACACTGCTTTCCATAAAAGGGAGCAATGCAGTTAAAGCGGCAGTTTTCCCCATAAGAGCCAGATGGACATTCTGCAAAGAGAAAAAAAACCACAACAATTGCTTAAATTTACGTCATTTGTTCTCTGGTGGAAAGTTGTCTCTTGGCAACCATACCACATACCTTATGTTTTTTACATATATTTTTTTATATAAAATCTGAGTTTAAAGCGCATCGTAAACCATTAACAGAAATGATTGTGCACCAACAATTCCCTAATATTATGAGTTAATAAAAGTTCAACATACATTCTCGTTCTATTTGATACATAAAATGTCTTTACATCAAGTTATTGATTTACCACTACTTCCATACATGTATAATCTGCATTTATCGTATTGATATGCATCAGGACTATGGTCGCCTGTTGTCACCGGTTGTACATATATTTTTTAGTTTATCGCACAATAGATATTAAAAAGGAAAATCAGAATATTTTTACCATCACAATTTCAGGCCACTCTTTATTGTTATATTTGGTACGAAAGCAATATTTGTTCATGATTGCTATTTGTTCGTAAATTAGTACTTCCAATAAGCTAGTAGTGTTAAATCATAGTGCTACATTTTTATTTTATTTTTAGTTCAAAAATAACAAATCGATGGCTACATGATGCCCAACTACATATAGTAGTAAATTGACGAACGAGCGATTTGTTTCCTCTTTTTACCAATCATCTCACTCTTGTTGTTAATGTAACGAAAATCGGTCATAGTTCATTTATTTTGATGTGAAATACCAGTTGTCTTTTCCTATTTATTGTGTTTCTATATGTATATAAGTTTCTCCATAGTTGGAGCACCATCTGTTACTTAAAACACCCCTAAAGTTGGTATAGTCTTGATTTTCACCCCTTTAAGTATAATGGACTGATCCAGATGGTAGTATATAAACCAGCTCAAGACAGAGAAACCGACCGTGCAAGGGCTGTATAGCCAGTCAAGGTCGTTAAAAACTTCCATTTGTTGTTGAAACTTTGTCATTTTTATGTGGACCGTTGAAGTGATAACATCAGGGATTATTTTCCAACTGGTAAGTAGAGTGAATTAAGTGATTCCAAAGGATATATATGAATAGTGTTCGGACTTATATGTGGATATTGCAATAGTGATTGTGATATAAAGTGAAACTTATATAATAATTTATTTGTATACTTGCTGGTGTTGCAAGTTGTACTATGTGAAGTGTGGATACTTCATAGATTTGTATTAGTGAGAATACAAGGTGTATACTTGCTGGTGTTGCAAGTTGTACTATGTGTAATATTGTGGAAGTGTATTAGTGAAAGTGCACTGTGTTAAACCTTACCAGTTTGGATAATATTCATTGTGTGGGAACTCAAAGGGATAGTTAGTTTATATATATATTCCTTGTGCATTGAAGGATTTGTGCATGTGTAATTGTGTCATTGTGTTATTGTGGTTAGTTGCAGACTAACAAGGTGATACTACATATTGGTGGACGTTGTAAATAGAAGTTGTATATAATGTGATTTTGTGTTCATACGTTTTGTGTGATACTTACTTGATGCATGTTGCAAAGTAATCTGTTGGTGACATTGTGTAATAAAGGGCTGTATGCATGTTGCATAGTAATCTGTTAGTGACATTGTGAATAAATCGGTCTGATACATGTTGCATAGTGATTGCATAGTGACATTGTGTATATATATTCTGTTATGATACATTGTGAATGAGGTACTTCACCTTGCATTTTGATTTATGTGCATTGTGCTGTGTATATATTTTTCGTTGTAAATCCATTTATGGATGTGTTGATTGTTTTGAATAGGACAACTGGTTGTGGTGAAAATTTGTGTTTAACACTTGAAATCCTGATTTATTCAGATACGGATCCATTGATCGCCCGTTACACGTTACACTAATATGAATAAAAGAAGATATGGGATATATGTCAGAGAAACAACAACCTGTTAACATTAAAATGGCACCAGGAAGTCAAAAACATAACCTTCTTACATAGGCAGGTGTCTATCAAAATGTCAATCTATAAATCGTCTATAGAAAATAAGTGAATAAATTCACATGAGATTATCAAAGACCTGTTATCAACTCCAAAATGACAATAACACATTTACATAAAGACTATCACCAACGATGTTTCTGACTAGGGACAGACAAAAGCATATGTGGCTGTGTAAGATTTGTTTTTCGATATTACAAAAGTCACCAATTTTATCTCGATCAGTGTACTAAAAATGGCACACGCAAGCATACGATTAAAATAAGTACAGAAAGGCAATTAACTCTAAAATAACAGTTTAATAGCTACATTTGTAACAAAAAGAATAAATGTCCGCAGGACGCAATGCCCCGCACCCCACTGTGACATTTCCATGTTCAGTGAATCATGAAATCTGGGTCAACGTCCTAATTTGCCATAAATATTAAACAGTTCAACTTATAATGAACATGTGTACAAGTTTCAAGTTGATATGCCACAAATTAACTTAAATACTTAAAACCAAAACTGTCGTCTACTATGTTTTCATGTTCATTTTGAAACCACCATTAAAAATAAAGAACAATTTGCTAGAAATTGCAACAATTATACATAATCTGTACTTCTAGATGTTTATATATGAATACAAGAAGTGTAATACAAAAACAAAACGAGGCAGGGCCCATTAAGGAAATAATGCATATATATTTCCATAGAGGCCACAACTGGCATCAGACGACAAAGTCAGATTGCAAATTGCATCTTATCACTTTATTATAAACAATATGTATTGTATCTTTACACCGGTAAACTACTGTTGCCTCTATTTCATCAGTTTTATATATTTCTGGTATAGTGTGCAAATGCATTCCAACATGTGATGCTGTTGGTATGTATCGTTGTCATATATCGGTAGCACACTAGCTTTTCGTGCACAATGATACAACTAGATTGATCAATTCGGATTCAGAAGAAGTTCAAGGCAGATTATGTTTTGATTCCAAATCAAAACGGTTTGAGACAAAAGTCATTTCAGGACTTGATGTATACTAAAAGAACCAACACTCTGGAAGAAATGATTGAAATCCATGCAACTATGTTTGCTCAGCATTTTCAGCACTTTCCCCTTTATACAAGAACAAGCTAGCTTGTATGCGCATGTTAGTCTTTATTTATAAATGATAGCCATCTTTGATTTCGTATCTGCATTATAATCTGATATCTTTACATGCATGCTTACTATTGGCTTTGTATGTGAAAACAACAGATTTTTAAAATAATAAATAAGAAATTACTTATGTTTATAAACCTCAGTATCTTTACAATATAAAAACCAAAGGAAGCAAACTGGATCAAACTGTAATTGTTTTGGTTTTTTTTAATTTTAATGTTTATTCAACGAAAGGCACGCAAAATAACTGGTAAATATAAGCCATTTTTTAAAATTTCGTTTAAAAACATGATAATTGGGCAAAATAATTAAATGTATTAAACAAAAACACATTTTCTAAAGATCATCTACATGAAATTTATATGAAAAAGCTTGCACTATAAATATTGTCAAACAAGCATTTTTAACAAGTCTCTTAAAAATAAGTAATTTAAACCAGCTATTGAACTTGGTAGAGGACAGAATTTACATTATGATTTTATTAAAAACTTTCGAGAGAAAATAAGGGAGCAACCATTTAACTTCAAGGGGGGTTACGGTTTTTTGTCCGAGTCAGAAATTTATTTTCGCGCTATAAATAAAAAAAAATGTCTTCAAAATTTAAACACTATAAGGTATGGGGAAAATCTGGATTCAGAATATTTTTTTTTTTTATCTGCTTGACCAAAATATTTTTTTCCCATCAAATTGGGGATCAGATTATTGTTTTTAGAAAAAACCGTAACCGCCCTCCCCCTTGAAGTTAAATTGTCGTTCCCTAAACAAAGCTTTTGAGTGGATACTCAAGAAAATGTTATTCAAGTAGAAATTGCTGAAAATAAATATTGTAACTTTTTGAACTAGTATTTTGTTTTGTGTCGTTGTAAGAAAGATCTTGGATATACATAAAAGGTTAAAAACATGACTTGCATGAACATCCATATATTAGAATTATACACAAAAAAAAATATACAAGCGTTGCTTGGATTTCGATTTGTATAACATTCAAGATTTCTAAAAAAAAAAAAAAGCATAACCTGATTAAGACTAACATATTTCTATCCTCAAAACACCCTTGGGGACAACACCAAACATCGTTTGTAGATTGGCGATAAATAATTATTTACAAGAGACGAAATATTACAGCTTTATTATTCTATAATGTTGAACAATATACAATTTAGTAATTTCAACCACAAGAGTTTGTAGTTATGCATCCCCAACAAAACATCACTTTTTACTTCTTTGGTAACTACTGCTTGATTTTAACTAACTCTTTACATTGATCCCATTTGGTGCCAACGTTTTTTAAACAGCTTATCCAAAATCGTTCCCGAGAGATTATATCATCCACCGTGTACAAATTACTGCTGTGGTCAATGATGGTGATAGTCAGTCGGTTCAGATATGCCTTACGGTGGCAAGGGGATGTCTCATATCTTGACTGAGAAGGAAGTCATTCATAGTTTTTGAAATCGCCAATACACTATTTTCCAAATTTACACTGAAGAAGATACATTGTGTTTGTAGTCTTGCGATCAACATAGCATAATATGGTGTATGTCGTATCAGTCAAGTGACTGTTGAGAGCCTAGTGTGCTGTATTTGCTTGCAAGTTAGACATCGTTTGTTCCCACAACCCTTACAAGGGCCTGCTGACGAAGAGCATGTCTGTGTTGACATGTATTATTATTGATAAAGTCATAACTATGAATGAACTATGAATGAACTGTTTATAAAACTTTGAAATTTATTCGAAATACTAATGATTTTCTTTCCCTGAAATAGATCACCTTAGCTGTTTTGTCAAAACCTTTCAAAATTTTGTGTCTTCAAAGATCTTCAACTTCGTGCTTAATTTTGCCTGGTTTACTTGTTTGATTTGAGCGTCACTGATTAGTCTTTTATAGACGAAACGCGCGTCTGGTATACAAAGTTTTCATCCTGGTATCTATGAAGATTTTATTAGATGATAAATCAGTCCACACCAAAAATTATTTAAGGCTTTCGAACCTACTGAAAACCAGAATGGATGGCTCGGGAAGGATCTTGAAAAGTTTAGGATTTTAGGATAAAATGTGTATTCGATATGCCAAATTTCGCGTATAAGGTGTGCCATATTCTCAAATTGTGGACGATGAATCGAACAAAACGGAACACTTTTGATGTCCTTATTTACTTTATACACAGAAGTGTGTCTCGGCTGATATTGTGAGCACGAGCGAAGCCTCTTTTAATGTATTGTCTTCTGTAGCCCCTGTTTGTAAAGTTCTTGTACTCGCTTTGCAATCCTTTCATTGGTTGATCAAATCCGTTTGATGTTAATCACATGCCTGTATGGTATGCTTTCGGAATTCTAATGACCTGAGTGCAGGGAATGCTTATGGTATAGTGCTTTTGGATGACAACTCATGGATGAAAGATATTGATGTTTGTCTGTTGGATTGTAATAATTGACTCCATCATTCCATTCTGTAGTGGTGTCAAAGAATGTCAAATATCTAAGAGGCAGATATTTCATAACTGAGGTTTATTGAGGGGCGAGTATTGTTGCCATGCTGACTGAACACGTTAAGTTCTAGATTTTTATTACCCCACTTCATGTCAATATCGTCAATGAATCTGAACCAAGTAAAGAGTTGGTGAAAAAAGTTTTTATATTTGCTGTTTTAATTTGCTCATAATAATATTGGCAAAGGAGGGGGTCTTCTTTGTTCCCATTGCTGTTCCATTAGACTGAATATAGTGTTCACCATCAAAAGTAACGTAAACTGGTACATTTATAAGTTCCGGAGTTTAATGTGACGTCCATTTTCATCAAGTATACACTTTTGTTTAGGGGCCAGCTAAAGCCCGCCTCCGGGTGCGGGATTTTTCGCTGTGTTGAAGACCCATTGGTGGCCTTGGGCTGTTTAATACTCTTTTGGTGTTGTCTCTTTGACACATTCCTTATTTTCATTCTCAATTTTATGATACAAGAATTGTTTCAGTTGGAAGAAGGTTCAAGGATTCCGTTAAAATATGAATTTCGAATGGAATTTAAAAAAAAACACTAAATCAAAAATATAAATACATTGGTATTTTGGTATTAATATTGATTCACTCATAGGGTCTTTGCATAGGAAATAAACACATTTATTCTAAAACCAGTAGTTGGCATGATACAGGTTATTTTCATCTCATATATTTTATGATGGTATGATACAAAACCCTTAACGGGAGGGATTGTGCTTGATTTTCATATGATGAAGACAATCAATCAGTTTAATTGAGGTCTGGAGTTGGCATGTCAGTAACTGCTAGTAGTCCTTTGTTAATTTATGTATCATTGTCATTTTGCTTAGCTTCTTTTGTTACCTATTCTGACATCGGACTCGCACTTCTTTTAAACTGAGTTTAACTCTGGGTATTGCTGTGTGTTCGTTTAATCTACATTGGCTAGAGGTATAGGGGGAGGGTTGAGATCTCACAAAACATGTTAAACCCCGCAGCATTTTTGCGCCTGTCCCAAGTCAGGAGCCTCTGGCCTTTGTTAGTCTTGTATTATTTTTAATTTTAGTTCATTTATATGTTTTGGAGTTTAGTATGACGTCCATTTTCACTGAACAAGTACACAGTTTTGTTTAGGGGCCAGCTGAAGTCCGCCTCCGGGTGCGGGATTTTCTCGCTGTGTTGAAGACCTATTGGTGGCATTCGGCTGGTTTTTTTTACTCTTTGGTCGGGTTGTTGTCTCTTAGACACATTCCCCATTTCCATTCTCAATTTTATTGTACAAAGTTTGATAAATATATGAAAAATACTCAAAGAAAATTATCAATTAGGCTTGGGAGTTCAAACGACTTACATTCAAATAGTCACATTTCCCATGTGGTACTAATCTAACGTCTGAGAAAGTATCTATTTTGTATAAATCTATTGTTCGTCAAAGTTCTCGAATACGGATCAACTATTATGTAACCGATTTTAATTAAATATGTTGAAGCTTTAAAGAAAGTCCAGCGTATGTGTACTCGAATGGCAGGCAATTCATTCGTTTTAGACTCAATTAAATCTAGAAGATATGAAAAACATATGAATATACACACAGCAAATATGATTCAAACACAGGCAATTTATTCGAAACGAGTGAATCGCATACTAGAGGTTTCAACTATAAGCTAGTAAAAAGCAAAATGACAAAAAGCTAGTAAAGCATTTTGCTAGAACTGATGTTAGAATCAACTTTTTCTCAAATCGAGGAGTGAACTCTAGGAACTCTCTTCCCGCCTCTACTGTGGCTGCTACTACTTTTGACATGTTCAAAAAGAAATAGAAGTCCCTTCCTGATGGCTGAAAGGATAGATCATCAAAGTAACAAAGTAAGTAACAAGGGTTGAAGGCGAACAATACAATAATATACACAATACAAATATTATAAATTATAAAAACCTCGCATGCCATTAATAACTATGCAGGTGTGATGTCCACACTCCTCAGAACAATCGACTTTTTGATGAACGGAACAGTAAGCTGCATAATATTAAATAACGACAGAAGTAATTGCAATGTATCTTTTTAGATGATTCCATAAATTCTGGATGAATATTATTTGTGTCTTTTTCAAGCTGTTCTTAAAGATTTATTAATTTTACATTTTTAGAAAAAATGGGTTTCATCTTAACCTGATTTATATAACAAATTGTATGCTAACAAATACAATAAATAAAGCATTACAACAAATTAAATCTTATACTGCTCGCTTACCTTTACATTTCCCATCTAACCTTTTGACAAAACCATTACAGCACCTTTCGGTGATCACATCTTTTCCATTCACTTTTCTTTAATAAATATAAAAAGCTAGAATTTAGTCAACTTAGTTACACTAGCCTATTTCCCCTGAATATGCAATTGGTATATTGATAAAATTATTCTGAACTTTTATCAATTTCACTTTGTTGTAAAGATACAAGGTTTATAATTTGGTTCTCAAGACTTGCGTTTCATCCACATAAGACTCATCAGTGACGCTCGAATCAAAACAGGTAGAAGGCCAAATCAAATGAGAAGTTAAAGAGCATAAATAAAAACGAAAATTCCGAAAAGTATATATATATATGTTACAAACATTTTCTAAATTCAGGCATTTTGTCAAATGCTTGAAAATTTTAGGCATTTCTTAAATGTCTGTAAGATTTAGGCATTTTATATATTGACTAATTTTTTCAGGCTTTGTGCAAAATGGCTGGAAAAATTGAAAGGCATTTTACAAAATGCCTGAAATTATTTATAGAATGAAATGTTCACAAAAGCTGAGATATTGAAGGTATTGAACAACAGAATGGAACGCCACAGCTGTCTTATGTGGAACTCTGATATTACGTTATGTTGTTTTGTTATTACTTGATGATAGTTTGTCTTTACATAATATGATTTTGACATTACGTAATGATGTTTTTAAATAACTCAATATGGAAAAGTCATTACTTAATGATATTCCGATATTACATGATATGGTTTCGTATTGACTTGATATAGTTTTGTCATTACTTAATATGGGTTTGTCATTACTAGATGTGGTTTCGCCATTATTTAATGTGGTTGTGTCTTTTACCATTACTTGATGTGTATGTGACTTGACGTAATGTAGTTGTTTCATTAAATGATGTGGTTTTGTTATTTCGTAATGATGATTTGCCAATTCTTTATATGGCTTTAACATTACGTAATGATGTTTCAAAATTTGACGATTTTACACTACATGATGTGTTTGTTTCCGTATTTGATGTGGTCATGTCATTCTTTGATGAGGTTATCCCATTACTACTACGAGGTAAAACCACGTGACCATTTTTGAAAAAATATGTTCTATTTTTAGACCGATTTCCATATGTAGTTTGTGTAATGCGCTATGGATGAGTACCGCTATCCATTAAGGTTAAAGTTCAAATTAAAGTTCAAGTTGTTGTTCAGAGTTATTTGGTATGAAAAAAAAGAACGACAGACAAAAATAAGAAAAAAAGTACTAAAAAATTAACAGTAATTCGGACATATCCCAAACCATTTGGTCCTGCCGTTTTTTCCTTAGTTCTCAAATGGAAGCTGTAAATTAATAAATAAAGTAAAGATTCTTATTAACCCTTTGTCTCGCCGGATAATTCTGCTGTCAGTGTAAAAGGGTAAATTAAATGTTGACTGACTGTACATTAACCGGTACACTTAACGGAGGAAAACATATTTTTCTGTAGATGCTTTTATCTTGATCTTGAAGAATAACTCCTATACAAGTTTTATAACAATTCATGGAGGTTTACAAATTTATCATGTCAAAACAGTTTAATTCGGTAATATTAAATGCATTAAAAAAACCTTATATAGAAATAAAGAAATGTGGTATGATTGCCAATGAGACAACTCTCAACCACATACCAAATTTCGAGTTGAACTTCGAGTTTGAGTCACATTTAAAGATAGAGTTCCGAATTACAATTGGACTTCAACTTTAAATTTGAGTCACCTTTTGGCGTAGAGTTCGAGGTAAACCCTTATTTCAGTCTCATTTAGATTAAGATTAAGAGTTGAAATTCGAGTTATCTAATATGAGTTCTATTTTTTTTTATCGTGGATCAAGGGCTTTTGCTCGAGCTTCCGAAAAGAGGGTTCAGGGTAGGTATGCGTACAAAAGATAAACAATTTTATAGCATACAAAACACAACATAGACATTGAAATAAAGTTAGATGTGGTGTGATTGCCAATGAGAAAATTATCCACCATAGTTTAAATGCAGTGGATGCAAGCAATCATAGGCAACCGAACAGCCTTCAACACACCGTATAGTCGGCTACAAAAAACCACCACGTGAAAATGTGAAACAATTCAAACGAGAAAACTAATGGTCTAGTTTATAGCTAAACAATCTACGATAAACAGCTGCCCCATGAACGCATGATACGCCCGTCGTCTTGTGTGTGAATTTTTATGCAATAATCATAAATAGTTTCTGACATACGGCGCGACATGCGAAACCCCCCCCCCCCCTTTTTTTTTTTAAAACTCAATATCTCTAAAATAAAATTTTGAATCAAAACCAAAAAGTATACAGATCTTAAGATCAATATCACGGCCGACACTCGGCTAACCGAGAGATTGGTCGGTTGATCTATATTGAGTATGCGGCTATATGGGCGGTTGGTCTGTTAATCGGGTCGGTTATACGTCTGTTAAGAGTAAAACGCACAATTTAAATGTTCAACACTGTTAAATATACAGATTTTTGGCATATTATAAGAACCAAATAAAAAAAAGAAAAGTGTCAGACAAAATGATATCTATCATAGAACATTTTCCACATGTAAAAACATTTGATAAGTCTGCGCAAACTTCAGTAAAACTAAAAGGCGTCGCGCAAGTATGTGGTATTTATGCTTATACGCATAGCAATTGTTTTAATAAAAGGCGAAAAAAAAACAATTTTAGATATCATTTAAAGGACACAATAGTACTTTGGTTCTAAAAAATAAATTGACATTAGTAATATTTCATAATTGTAATATAACGTGAGTAATACCACGTTTTAGTGACTATTAGGGGAATAAAGTCTGTTAATGGGTTGGACAATTAAAATTGTGTCAGTTAAGAGTTATTTAGCCACGACAATAGTTTTGCTACCTTTATAATTTCCCATTAAACAGGTTAAGAATGAGATGTACTTGAGTAAATAAAAATGACAATACGGTGCAACAGTATCCTTGTAGTAAGGGCATTTTTATTTTGACTTTCTGTGCATTTTATTGAAAGGTGTGTCACTGCAATATAGCGTGATATGGATTGGCCGCTGGAATATGCATGAATTTATTATTAACGTTTTCAATCAGCCTTGATTTTTATGTCTGTTCAAAGAAGCACGTTCAAAAATCCGACTGAAAGTGTCTGTCTTATACAACACCGGGTACATATAACGTGTTGTCGTTCTCATATGGACATGATATTTGCCACTGGACGTTAAACTCTAATTCGTCAGCATCATCCAATTGGTTCTTTTGTTCTATTACTTAATCATATGTTGTTTACAAAACATTCTAAAGAAGTAAATGGAAAGAAGCGAATGCAGCTACATTTGATTATCTTAAGTTTTAATTCATTTTATTCCGTTTAGTTCCTTTCTATGTATACATAAGTGCAGAGGAGAACTGCAGTTGTGCGCTTGTAAAATTCTAGCATTTGTCACCAATTTGAGTACATCGCAATCCGTTACTGTTTCAACCACCCCCTCCCCCTGAAATTTTGTTTTGTTTGCACTTTACAATATTTACTGAGCTATTAGATTCAGCGGTTGACAGGAGGCCAATGTTTATCGGACTCCAGTCTCAAATAACATATAAAGTGATATACAGTAAAAAAAAATTGCAAAGCATCTATATAGACATCTTCGCTAGCCAAGGGTTACGATCCACTTCCCTCCTCTCCAGCCAAAGGTTACGATCCACTTCCCTCCTCTCCAGGAGAGGAGGGAAGTGGATCGTAACCCTTGGCTAGCGAAGATGCTATATAGATATCATTGTCTATACTATTAATTTAAAAATAAGGAGATGTGGAATAAATGCCAAAATTGTTTTAACAATCATCTTGGAGGGTCTAAATAGTAAAAAGGGGTGTTTCATGTCTGTATTCTTAAACAATTGTTATTTTTCTCTCTTTTTTAGCAATGCATCACTCTCTACTGTCCTTATCTATTATTCTATATTCTGCGTCTCCATCCAGATTCTCGTGTATACCATGAGGGTCCGGATTGGGGGTGTTGTTTATTTCTGTATTCTTTAAATTATTATGTCACTTTTCTCTACATTTTATTTATTTTTCTCATTATTCTTTCTCTATTCTTTAAATTTTAGCATCCCAATATATTTTACTTACTGATGTTTAGTTAAATTACGACGTTTATCTCTGATATAAAAAAGCAGATGTGGTATGATTGCCAATGAGACAACTCTCCACAAGAGACAAAAATGACACAGAAATTAACAACTATAGGTCAGCGTACGGCCTTCAACAATGAGCAAAGCCCATACCGCATAGTCAGCTATAAAAGGCCCCGATATGACAATGTAAAAACAATTCAAACGAGAAAACTAACGGACTTATTTATATATAAAAAAAAAATGAACGAAAAACAAATATGTAACACATAAACAAACGACAACCACTGATTTACAGGCTCCTGACTTGGGACAGGCACAAACATACATAATGTGGCGGGGTTAAACATGTTAGCGGGATCCCAACCCTCCCCTAACCTGGGACGGTGGTATAACAGTACAACATAAGAACGAACTATAAAAATGATGTATATACTGGTTACCAATGTAGATGACAAATTGGTGTCATTCATAACAACGAAACAGAATTCACATGATATATGCGACCATTCTTGAATGAAATTAATATTACTTTAATATTACACTTTTTGAAACCATTTTTATCAATTTCCAATTTCCATTGTCTAAATTTATGTTTCATTGTTCATGTGTTGTTTCTGTAATAGTTATACACCGAGGGATAGGTGTGTCTGGATAAGAAACCACGTCGGCCGGAGGCCGGAGGGGTTTCTTATCCAGACACGCCGTAACCCGAGGTGTATAACTAACTTACACCCCATTCTAAACCCTATATTTGTTAACATTGATTATTAAATAAAAAAAAAAAAAAAAACGATAGCATATTTATTGACAATATCAAACCATGATTTATAAGAATATTTGTTTATTACATAAAACCCCACGAGTAACCTTTCTTTGGTTATCTTCGTTCAGACTTTGACAAGTGAGTATATTTTACAAATGT